AAATATAAGTTTTTGGAGCTGACTCAACTATTTTGAATTGACTGTTGTGCAACAATTTTAAGATCTTGCTTTCATAACTTATATTTAGTCTTTTTTTGTAGCATATTCTTACTATTTAATATGTACATTTTAAAAACGACCACATTTTATCCATTTAAATCAATCTACTTTTAATCTACATAAAACAGCATCCCCCAAATATGATAAACGGCTGCCAATAAACAGTTGTCGCTTATTCCAGAATGCACTGCAGCGATGTGGCTACTGTTATTTGCTTATTTACATTTTATTTACGCTGTTGCAGATTTCACAAAATGATTGCACCGACCAAGAATATACATAAATATGACTGCACGACATTTAGTCGTGGGAATTTTACAGTCAGTCTTTCTGCAGGTTACATCATTACGCACATTAGTGGAGTCATTTGAGTGAGTCATTGATTCATTCATTCAACAGATTTGCTTAAAATCACAGATTAATTCAGGAACTGAACACTACTGTGCATTTCTCTGAGATATGCTGAATTTGAATCATTTTTGAGTAGTTGAGTACTTTAAAAAATATATTGGTCGCAGTGTAATTTGTATGTACAATCAAACTGGAAAAACAAATCAAAATTGGCAAAACAATGTATATGATACTCAGAACAGCTATTAAGATAATGTGTCATGCTGCTTTGATTTTTGACTAGATTTTTGGGATGTGCCAAATCAAATCCTTTAAAAATAAATCCCTGATTTACGCAATGCTTTTTTTTTTTTTTTGTAATTGTTATGTTTTCTGAATTCAGCCTACTAAACTAACATATCATATTTTTTCAGCTGTTGGATAAACAAGTGAACATATAATGAAGGTAGATTTTAACTGACAACTGAACAAGGCATTTAGCATGCTAGGCAAGTTGTTACATGTGTTTTAAAATAAATGTCTCACCAAATTATAACTAATGATTTGTAACTTATTAGTTATTAATTATAAGTTGTTGACAAAGCAATGTTTTGACATTATTTGATTTTTTTTTTTCATTTTCTTTCCTTGCCAATAGGTGTAAATAGCTCCTTTATAGCCTGGTAGAAACTCACAACATGATAGTGTTTTCATAACTTTCAAAAAGAGGAGAGTGATTGATAACGGCAGTCAGAAGAAAGAAAAAAAAACATGGATTTATGATGCTGATGACTGTTGAAATGTGTCATAACACTCTGTAAAACGGGTCCATATATTGCCATATTGTTGACTAATACCAAAGAGACAAAAGTCCAAGTGCAAGGTTTCCTGAAGAGTAAGCTGGGGTTCAAACCTTAAAGGACAATTAGTGATATACAAGATTTTGATCTCAGCAATTCATGTTGCTTTTTGTTCACTCGTACTCTTTGGGAACATAGAGTGACATAATGATAAGATCAAGATAAAGAGCGAACTTGTTATTCCTTAAGACATTTGAAATCCAGTTGAATCTGCCTGCCAACATTATACAGCAGCTAGAATCAATTTATATTTTTTGTGCTTTTTCATTGATTTTTTTTTTAACTCTTGGATATTTTACAAAAATACAGTACTACAATGGCCCCAGCAGATAGTAAAATAGTAAATATATATATATATATATATATATATATATATATAAAAAACTCTAGTAAGTTCTGATATATATATATATATAGATAGATAGATATGTGTGTGTGTGTCCTGATTAATTTGGTAATTTCCTATATATCATTAAAATGTATACTGTATGTATCTAATTACTGTATCTAGTAAGGTCTGATTCGTTTATAATATCAGAGCTCTATTTGTATTATCTTGTAATCTTCAAAGAACAATAAAAAGATTATTATAGAGAAATTAGTACAATTTAAAGATGCCATCTCTTCATATCTAAAATACTGTTGAGATCCCATTGTGTAATAAGATAATATAATAATTAGGTAAGCAGATAATCTAAACGTCAAACAAACCAAGAGGTAATGTTCCTAGATTAAATGAAGCCTATCTGTCCTTAAATCCTTAAACCTTTGATCTTTTACACAACTTGAGAGTTAAATGACTACAATGCCATTAAAGGGACAGTTTACTGAAATCCCAAATTCAAATACCATACAAATATCTTGCCATGCATCTATACATATTTGTATAAATGGCCGGTACCAGACAGTGGCATTGATCTTTTTCCAGATCAGATTTTGATCACGTATATTTCCATATATTTTTAGTTGCTTATAAATCTTCTAAATGTACAGTATATGTATGCCCATAAGATATCAGATTGTCTTAAAATGTGATGTCATTTTAAGGCAACGTTATGCTATGTAATTAAAAATTATGTTAAGTAATTAAAATGTACTTTAAGACTTAATGAACTCTTGTTATTACTGCGGTTCAATTAATGAAGTGCAAAATATAAAATCATTATGTAAGTAGTCATTTAGCAGGCACATTATCCATAGTGCCCTAGGCTTCTTACTGGTCAGCCTGCTGGGTCAAGGGCCTGGGGTTTAGAGGGATCAGTGATGATCATGACTAGCTCCTTGTTTAGATAAAACTAGCAACCTTCTGATTACAAACCATGGCTATAGATTGCAAAAAAATTGTTTTGCTTTTTTTTTTTTTTATATTTGCATTTTACATGTTTGAATTTGTTGAGTAATGAAACGGGGTTTAGTGACTGGGTTTTAATAAGACAGATTTATTTATTTTTGAGTGTGTATCAGTGTTAATACTAAAACTAAAACTATTACCTATAGGGGTGAGCGGAAACAGCTTTTACTTACGGTGTGTTTAAAGCGAGCACATGACAGTAAAATGGGTCCAACTTCAATATGTACATACATTTCAGGATGTGGTGCATCCTTGGAAATAATCACTTTGGATCTAAAATAAACTGCTTTCAAAATATGGCTTTCCAAAAAAAAGTGGTCTCTTGGCTCAACTTGCCCCCAGTGAGGGGTAAGTTGAGCTAGAGGGAGGGTAAGTTGAGCCACATGGAGTTAAACTGTGCCATTGATTATGCTGAAGTAAAACTGAACATTCATGCTATATCAAAAGAAGAGAAATTCAATAAAAATGACTTCTTAAAATCTATGTGTGAGCCTTGAGATGGACTAGCCTTTCATGCAGGGATTTTCCTCGCCTGTGGCTCAAGACGCTGGTTAGGATCCAGCTCCCCACTAACCCAATAAGGACATAGGTTTGGATAATGGAATGGATGGATGGATGACTTCTGAAAAGTTTTATTTAAAGATACAGTTCACAACTTTGAAAATTAAAATAAAATGTATTTAAAATTATTTAAAAAATTCTGAACAAAATAAAGTTCAAATTGAAGAATTAAAGGGGTCATATGATGCTTTTTTTAAGATCATTATTTTGTGTATTTGGTGTAACAGAATATGTTGACCACGCCTTCTTTCTTTGCGTGAACATTTGGCCAGCATTACGCAAATATTGCCACATAGTGAGGTAGATATGTGGGGGCGTGTTAGAACGAGCCGTTTTAGGGGGGCGTGGCAGAGTCTTAACTTTGATAAAGAATATCTCTTTGGTTTTGAGACTTTAGTCTTTGCAACTTCAGGGATCTTATCTATGCACAATCAGCTTGTAACACTCCAAAGAGAAATGAAAACTTGAAATCGCATCATATGACCCCTTTAAAAAACTGACTGCAGTTACCTTACAGAACTGGGCTAATAGTACTCAACATCCCACTTATAATTGTTGCGAGAAAATACAGTTTCAATAAACATCAATGGCCAATTTTCATAAACAAGGCCTATTTAACATTTTCAGAACAAAATCAAGTTCAAAACAAAGAACAAAATAAAAAAATGTTTGGTTTAAAATTAGTAAAATATCATGCAGAATTACAGTAAAAGTATACTTTATAATCATAAGAAGGGGTGAGCCACTGGCTCAACTTACCCCAAGACTGTTGGCTCAAATTACCCCACTCCGACCATTTTAACAAACTTGTATCCAGCAGTTTAGAGCTAACACCATGCAAAGAGTATAGCCTCATATTATAACTTCCTAAACCACAAACACGTGTGATATTTTTTCAGATTTGTCTGTAATTGTTCAGACACAAGAAGCATGAGTCCTTGAACATAAAAAAAATCACTTTGAACAGCAAAAAACTAAAAAAAGTTTTTTGAACCTAAATGTAGTTACAAATTATTCTCAAATGGACCTCTCTCCATCACAGGGTCAGTAAAATGGTTAACTCTTCAAACAGGTGTGGTCATATCACCAATTGACTTTAAGGTTGTCTAGAAACTAGGGGTGGCTCAACTTCCCCACAGGCTCAAAACACCCCGCCCTCCCTATATGTAATGAAAATGTAATCAAGTAATGAAATTCAATGTGCTACTTGCTGTGTTAGTTGTCGTTATTTGTGAGATTTACTAGCAATTTCTGAGTGAAAACTGTTTCGTAGTAAATCCTCTAAGCGTTTTTCTCCAGTGTGGTATAACGCATTTCTATAGTGAAACAATACTGCCATCTGGTGATGTGAAAGTACTTTAGTTGGTATCACAGATCTATCGCATTAATTAGACCACACATAATATGTAGATTAAAATTAATTTATACGTGCTTTCATAATGATTACTGGAACGTATATTGAAAGAGGTGAAAACTTAAACTTATTATTATACTCTTAACCTTTAAAGACTTAATAACATCCTTTTTAACTGCCCCACCACGTCAGATCACTGTTTCCTGGTGCAGGTGCCCTAGTCCCCCGGCTTCCTTTCTAGAAATCTTTTTCTCACGGCCCGCGCTTAAAAAGGTGCGGTCTCTCTTCCCATCGTGAGAACTTTCACACGCGTTTGACTGGCAGCCGTCCGCAACTCACTCTCGCGATGACAAGGGACCCGCTCTTATACGCTCCCATAGTAGGCGAGCGTGAATTCTCGCGTGAATTCAGAACTTTCCCACGCCTGTGCCCCCCACCCCCCTTCCTGCATTATTTCTCACACTGCCCCTCCCCCTCGTCTAAATGCAGTGTGGTGCTGGAAATCTCGCGATTGTTGGCGTTATTAGAGAGAGTTGGTGAAGATGGCGCCTGTTGTGACAGGGTAAGCAGCGAAATTACCAACGGACGGGTTGGCGTTATTAGAGAGAGTTGGTGAAGATGGCGCCTGTTGTGACAGGGTAAGCAGCGAAATTATCAACGAACGGGGCATGGAAAAGTCACAGCTAAAATAAGTTTTGTCTGTTTAGTCAAGATAACTTGCTTTGGTTTATTTCTTTACACCCATGGCCGCTTTTCTCTGTGCTGGTGGCCCGTTTCGGCGTACTTCTGTGTGGTTTTTGAGATTTTCAACGATGGGCTCTTTTATTCACTTAGCCGCTTAGCTTTTAACGTTAGTTAGCTGATGGATTTTCAGCAGTTTTCCATAAACACTGAATACTGTGGAGAACAAATCTTTAACTATAAACACAGTAAAGTTGTATTGACGGCGTGTTTTGAAACTTTAACTTAACGTTAATTTAATCTTAAAAAATGTATTAAAATTGAGCCAACTTGTGAGTTGGTGTACAAGACAGAGAGGGGGCAGGTTAGCAGATGTTAGCCAGTCAAGTTAGCTAGTCTAGTGAGTCCATAACAGAAACTGGGAGCTTTCAAGAGGATTTAAAAAGTTCTCTTTGTCAGACTTTTTAGTTAAACTACTTTTAGCTTTAACATTGTGTATTTGTAGCGTCCCGTCATTAATATGTAAAATGGTATTTATGTATTTCAACTTATAGGTATATTCTCAGAACCTAGTGAGCTTCTTATGCACGTTTCAACTTGTTTATCCTGCTCAAAAATGCAGTATTGGTAGGCAGATAACTTGGATGTGACAGTTTTGTTTTTCCAGCATTATTGCTGTTTTGTAGTGTAAATCAGTGATGTTTGAAGTGTGTCTTGACTGTGTCTTGTTTCTTTTTGTAGGAAATTTGGGGAGCTCCCTCAGCCAAAGCGTTTAACAAGGTAAGTGTACAGTAAAGTTCATGTGTAATGCTTAAGCATTTATTAGGAAATCTTAAATACATTTTTCTATTGTATTGTTTGGTTTTGCAGAGAGGCAATGCGCAACTACTTGAAGGAGAGAGGAGATCAGACAGTACTCATACTGCATGCAAAAGTTGCACAAAAATCATACGGCAATGAAAAAAGGTGAGTGAGGAATTTTAGGCGTAAACGTGTATGATTAACTGTTTATGTGTGTTGTGGACAGTAAAGTAAGTCAACATGAAATCACAATTGAGCCTATTAAGGTGATTAATAGACGTTTTTAGTCTAACCGTGGATAATTAATCTGTAATCTAAAAAGCTGTTTAGTCTTTGTGAATCGTCATTGTCATCGGTTTTGGCTGATCTGATCATAAATGGTCAGCTGAGACACATTAGCCTTTACACGTATTATTTACATGTGTCTCCAGTAAGCACTTGTGTTTGGATTTCATCTGAAAGTTTCAATTTCTGAATTCATGCATATATGTAATGGTCGGACTCGGTGATGTCTTTTGCTGTTTTCTGGAATGTGTCAGCATGCATTTCTGATTACTGACGAATATGGACCCTGTTTACACCTTTACTTAAATAGACCCCAATGGAGTTAATGGGGTCATAAAGATGGCTGTTTATGGTATAGTCAAGTCTCACACTACTTTTTTTTTTTCTTGTTGAATATCCTGTTTTAACTTGGGTATATGGCACATTTCAGAAGTTAAACGGATTTAGTTTTATGTTGACTATGAATCAAGTTTTGGGGAAGTCCAGTTAACACATAACTCGTGCACATTTCATGTAAATGAAGGAAGGGAGGGCTGTGTAAAATCAAATTTCTTATACAAGCATCCAGGTGAATTGTTCTTTAATCAGTTCAGATTCTCTTTGATTTCGTTAGATTCTTCTGTCCTCCACCATGTGTGTACCTGATGGGTTGTGGCTGGAAGAAAAAGAAGGAGCAGATGGAGAGAGAGGGCTGCTCGGAGCAGGAGTCTCAGCCTTGTGCCTTTATCGGCATTGGAAACAGTGAACAAGAGATGCAGCAGCTCAACTTGGAGGGCAAGGTGCTTTATGGATTTTTTTTTATTGCTACACATATTGAAACTGCCTTTCTAAAATAACTTTAAAAAATCCCTTTTCTGACATCATAGCTTTTGTGCTTTGCTTCTGCAGAATTTTTGCACAGCAAAAACGTTGTACATTTCTGACTCGGACAAACGGAAGCACTTCATGCTTACAGTGAAAATGTTCTACGGGAACAGTGCGGATATCGGTGTCTTCCTCAGCAAACGAATCAAGGTCATCTCCAAACCTTCCAAAAAGAAACAGTCGCTGAAGAATGCAGAACGTGAGTGAATTTCTTGTTTGTGTCCCTAAGTGAGTCATAATTTTCACTCGTCTCATTTTTTAATGTCTCTTATAGTGTGCATAGCTTCTGGGACGAAGGTGGCTCTTTTTAACCGCTTGCGGTCTCAGACTGTCAGTACGCGGTACCTTCATGTGGAAGGGGGAAACTTCCATGCTAGTTCACAACAGTGGGGAGCCTTCTACATTCATCTATGTGAGTATTTTATCACAATCGTCTATTAAACACAATATGTGACCCTGGACCACAAAACCAGTCATAAGGGTAAATTTTTCGAAATTGAGATTTATACATCACATGAAAGCTGAATAAATAAGCGTTCCATTGATGTATGGTTTGTTAGGATAGGACAATATTTGACCGAGATACAACTATTTGAATATCTGGAATCTGAAGGTGTACAAAAATCTAAATATTGAGAAAATCGCCTTTAAATTTGTCCAAATGAAGTCCCTAGCAATGCATATTACTAATGATTAGGGCTGCACGATTAATCGCATGCGATATTTAACATACAATGTATTTTTGGCTATTGCTACAGATTGCTACTTATGACTGGTTTTGTGGTCCAGGGTCACATGTAGTATGTTAAAAACAGCACCAAGACTTGACATTGATCCCTAGTGCATTTGGAAGGACACAAGCAAAGTTCATTACATCTAATGAAAGAATGTGTAAAAATCATGTATTTGTCTTTTACATTTTAAAATATGCAGTTTTTCTAGTTTATTTATGGATTGGTAATAATGTGTAATTTTGAATTCCAGTGGATGATGATGAGTCAGAGGGAGAAGAGTTTACAGTCAGAGACGGTTATATCCATTACGGTCAGACGGTGAAGCTAGTGTGCTCTGTGACAGGCATGGCTCTTCCACGACTGGTAAGCTATTATCCACTTTAACATTCATCAGTCAGAATGACTGTGATTGTTCATTATTAAAAGGGTTGGCCTAAGAAATTGTGTCCTGTTCAAAGAATGATGTATAGCTGTGACTCTGAATTGACATCCTATATTTTCTTTGTACAAATATGTTTGTGTAACAGTTTACATAGCAAGGATTTTTAGGTGAAATGTTGTGTGTCTGTGTGTAGATCATTCGTAAAGTGGACAAGCAGACAGCGCTAATGGATGCTGACGATCCTGTGTCCCAACTACATAAATGTTCCTTCTACCTTAAAGATACAGAGAGGATGTACCTCTGCCTGTCACAAGAGAGGATAATTCAGTTCCAGGTTTGTCCATTGGTGCTTCTAAAATTTAATTGGCTGAAATAATGCACTATAATTGATTAAAAAAATAACATTCTCTAAATTCGTGTTTGAATTCTCATCATCTTAATCATTTTTAGGCAATGTAGCCTTTTTAATGGTAAACAATTATAATAGGCCTATTTTCCAACTACTCTCAGGCCACATCCTGTCCCAAAGAAACAAACAAAGAAATGATCAACGATGGGGCGTCATGGACAATCATCAGCACAGACAAAGCAGAGTACACTTTCTATGAGGGGATGGGCCCTGTACCCTCACCTGTCACACCCGTGCCTGTTGTTGAAAGTTTACAGGTAATGCATGGCTACATATTACATCAAACTTTTACTTTAAAAGAGCATCGAAATCTGTCATATTATTTGTAAGAAAGTAACCTTGAACCCTTCGTGTTGTAGCTGAATGGAGGAGGAGATGTTGCCATGCTGGAACTGACAGGACAGAACTTCACGCCTAACCTCAGAGTCTGGTTTGGAGATGTAGAGGCAGACACTATGTACAGGTGAAACCAACACACCAATTACAGTGTGTTATACAGTTCAGCAAATAGAAAAACAGCTGGCAGTAGTAAATCATAGACATTTCAAAATAAGAGTTCTGGTGCATGTTGGGCTTGTTTATAATTAAAGGTTTTGCATTATGCATATAATCCTTTTCTGGTTATTATTGTTATTTTGGTGGCAAAAACTGTATCTGGCATTTCGTTCAACATAAACTCTTGTAGTTAATCCTTGTGCCACCCCGTCACAGGAAGGAAATACTAAGAACCTTATTTAACACATTCAGTGTACTAGTATCTGCACAATAATCTGTTTATTGCCTTTCTTTGAACACATTATTGTATCTCATAAGACTTGACATACTGATTCATAAACCAGATTTAGTACATCTGTATATATTTAATAAAACATGTTTGGAGTATTTTAAACTTGCGATTACCCTGTTTCTCTGATAAACAGTATTAAGTGATACTCCATATAAACATGACACACCTTCCAAGCGAACAGAGTAGAAGGGAAATAACATGTTAACATTAAGTCTTCATTGAATGTGTGCCACAGCCTGTTTAATTGAGTTAAAGAATCTGACATACAGGATTTATTTTGAGATCATGAGACTTTGCTCTCTTTGGACATGATCTAACTCGGTGATATAACTCGTTATAAGGGTCTTAAAATCTTAAGCCGCCTTTCCACTGTCTCTGACATTTGGATACGATTGTCACATTTCTCCCCCTAGTGGCAGTCGCACAGAACCTTCAAATTGGTAGTGAAGCGACCGTTACCCTCGGCTTATTTACCATGGTAAAATGAATAATTTTAAAGAATATAATGAATGTATCCACACAAAACAAATGACCCCCTAAATAAAAACATAGTAGGTTTTATGGGGCTAATCAACATTAATAGTGATTTAATAATGATAAAATAATTATTTCTGCCATAATTATTCTAAACTGCTATTTTACAGAAATGGTGTTTACAGAATATTGTTAAAGTGGAAAAATATTGGTAATTCTAGCCTCATGCTCATAGTTTTGATTAAAATGCATCACATCTGGTCGGGCGGTTGCATACGGTCTAGCCGCAGAAGTTAAAATATTTTAACTCATCCGAAGCTCAAATCGGATCCGAAATTTCCACATGATTTCCATATGATAGGATTTCTACGCAGCTCCCGCACTACTCTTCATTGGAAATGAATGACTTCCAGTTTATGGCTTGTCAATTGTCGGAGATAGTGGAAAGGCGGCTTTAACTTTGCAGATACCCTGTGATGTATTGAATTGATCTCTATTTATGTTTTCCTTTGAGCAAAATCGTTGCATATATATTGAGAATATCCATTACATAATTGCCAGCAATTCATGCTTTCACATTCTTTTTCCTGCAGGTGTGGCGAAAGTGTGCTCTGCGTGGTTCCCGACATCTCTGCCTTCCGTGAGGGGTGGCGTTGGGTTCGGCAGCCAGTGCAGGTTCCTGTGACCTTGGTCCGTAATGATGGCATCATCTACTCCACAGCTTTGACATTTACCTACACGCCAGAGCCAGGACCGCGTCCTCACTGCGGCACCGCGGGAGCCATACTGCGGGCCAACAGCAACTCCTCCACCTCACCATCTTCATCCTCCTTATCCTCCAGCCTACTGCTGCAGTCAGCCATCGACAGCCAGGCAGGATACGCGGCAACAGGCGTGTCTTCATCCTCCTCTTCCTCAGCTATGTCTGTCTCCTAACCTTGGAATCTCAATGTGCATTTGCTTGTGTGAGTAAGTGAGCCTTTGTGAGAGATGGTGATTCGTCCACACATAGACTTTCCTTGATTCACGGGATACAGATCACGAAAACAGATTACGGTGCCACAAAGAGAGAAGAATGAGAGACAAGACTTCACACAAAGACTGGACAAAACAAATGAAGATGTCTCTTTTCTGTTCTCTCTCTCTGTGTCTCTCTTTGTTGCAGTTCTTTTTCAATCTGTTTCCTCATGTCAGAGGAAGTGGAAACAGAAGTGATGTGTGCCGTGGATCAAGATGCCACAGGATCAATGCATAAGCCTTACATGAAAACAAAAAAAAACAATCAAAAACAAAAAAAAAATACTGTCTCTTCAAAACAAAGCCTTTTCGAAGTAAGTGCAAGCTGGAAATTGCTTTGAGAGATGTTGTTTTCTACTAAAGGGCTTAATGCACTGTTTCACCAGGCTTGGAAGAAAAGTTATAGTAATATAGTTTTTACGGACCGAGGAATATTATTATTATTATTATTTTTATTGATATATAATTTTATAAGCTTTAGCTAAGGTACATTTTTCACCTTTTTCAGTTTTATAACATATAGTAAACTTTTGTTACCAAATAGTTTTGTATATTTCTTGTGAGTGTTTGGGCTCAGAAGGAAATGGTTCACGCATTTTAAAAGCCTGAACTTATAGCTGCCTTTACTCGTCTTGGCAAATGCCTTAAGTCTTCTGGAGTTTCACCAGACACTTTCTCTTTTGTAATAATATTTTCATGTCATGTATATTGGTCTTTTTCCCCATTCTTTTTTTTTTTTTTTTTCTCCACTAAACCGAGAAGTAATATTGATGCCGTTTTTGTGTATTTGGGAGAAGGTGACTTCTGATTTGTTAAAAATGTTTTCTCATATGAAGTGGTCTTTTTCCCCATTCTTTTTTTTTTTTTTTTCTCCACTAAACCGAGATGTAATATTGATGCCGTTTTTGTGTATTTGGGAGAAGGTGACTTCTGATTTGTTAAAAATGTTTTCTCATATGAAGTCTTTAACACAAAAGCTTTAACTGACTTTGCCGGTTGGCCGTGTGCCCCATCGTACTCATCAGATACACATAGCCATTGATCTGGCCCTTTTTCATTGGCTATAGATATTCAAGCTGCCAACATAACAGTAACCTATGAAGTATCCCACACCAAATGGCTTATATTTAGTTGAACGTAAGCGCACAAAATTCTTTTAATAGGTCTGCGATTTCGAATTTTGACTCAAATCCTGTGGTAGGAAAGGACTGTACTAGTCTCATTTGCATATCATTCATGCTTTCATTGTCATGATTACTGTTAGTATCAGACTAAAATCAACATGTAGGAAAATTGCTGCTTTGTTGTCATGTGGTTTAACCATATAGAGAAGGAAGTGTAGTGATTCTGTAAGTACAGTCAGGTTACAAGTAGCATGCATGAATGAAAGTTTGAATTATCTCAGTGTTTTTAGATAGAGATGTGCAAAATTTTCAGAATCAACCAATTTAGGGTCAGATTTACTAACAGCTTGCACTAGTGCAAACCCTCTTTTGGCGTTAAGAGGCTACTGTCAGAATTTACTGATGACAGTGAAAAATTTGTGATGAAAAGGCATGGATACGGTTATTTTTGTGGCTGATCTTATTACGTATTAATTTGTAGGAGTTTCCCTTTTAGACACAAAATTTATGTGAGGAGAGTATTTAAATGAATCATGCAATGAGATTTACTAAGGTTTGTCAGTTGACTGGTATTTGCGCCATTATTTAATATGCACAAAAAAAGTCATGTCTTAAACCATTTTGCACTTGACATGCCTGCGATAGTTGCTAATTTGTGCTCCTCTTGGTAGATTGCGTTGGTCATTGGAAACGATCAGGCTGTGTCTGTATATATTAATTTGCACATTGTCAGTAGATCACCCGCAAAACGTCTAGCGGTCTCACGCTAATATGCCCCGTTCAGTAAATCTGGTCCTTAGTGGGTGGCCTGACCAGCTAATTCACTAGTCAGTCTTCTAGTTAGTTTAATATTTTTAATTAAACATGGCATCTTAAAAACAACACTTACCACTGAGATGCTCAAATGGATGTTTGAATGTGTAATGGTTGTACTAAAAATCTAGATAAACTAGTCAACCTCACTAATTGACTAGCTTGTTTTTGGACCCATCCCTGCTTGTAGCCAACTAGCTTAGCAGTGTCAAGCTGAATGGAAAGAACCGGAAAAAAGCACTTGCTCTCGCATTGCTGCGTGAAGATGTTTGGTTTGTAGATTACAGGAAATGAAATCTTATCCTTCCTTTCATATGTTTTGATTCATGAAACCGCAGAAGTGGCACAGCCTTCATGAGCATCACTGCTACGTCAAAATGTGCCCTTTTAAACTGACGTCACATGAAATTTTTTTTTTAGTTTTGTACCAAATGTTCGATTTTGTAATCGCTATTGTCTAAAGCAACTAGAAATGAGGCCTTAAACCACTACTGCTTAATAACAGGATCTGTTGGTAGAATATTACACTACAAATTATGTCCTTCTGTGAAAAGGACATAAGTATTTGTTTATACCTTTTTCAGTATAATTCACAGAGCAAAATGTCATCTCATGTCTGCTCTTTCTGTGGATCTTTGTTTCTTTTGCTGTCCTGTTTATGTACTTTTCCCCCCCACCCAACTCTACATGCATCGTCTGATCCAAGAGAAAGAGACACTTGTGAAATAGCACGGTATGGACTGTATTTTGTTACTTTTTGGGATTTATACAGGAACAGCAGAAGTAGTTCCTCAGTGGTTTTGGTTCTTTTAATTTATCAGGTTCTATCATGGCTAATATTAATAATATATGAGTCTAAATGTTATATTGATTATTTTATACAACATTATTGCTGTGTTACAGTATGAAATATTCTTTTAATGTTAATATTTCTAAACATTTCTTCCATGATTGAGGGAAAATGACTATGAAACTTCTTTTGTATATCTCATATTTTTTTAAAATAAGCCTTGTTTTGGTCTGCATTAGAAACTGTTGCTTTGGAAGAAATAAAAACTAAAACCCAGTAATTCTCGCAAAGCCATTAACTAGTTACTAGTATCTACTGTGAGCTTTTTTTCTTCAAGTTCCTCAATCAGGGAAGAATATTAAAGCATACCATGTGCAAGTGCCGAAATGAAAACTGCCAAATCTAAAGGTCAAATTGTGAAGGTCACACGTAACTTTTCCATTTATGCTTTCAGTGTTATTTTCCTCGTGTATCCAGTTGTCTTCCAGAGTGTTCGAATCCGAGGACCTGATTGGTTCATTTCAAGACTAACCATGTTGAGTTTCATCATTTCTGTCACACAGGTTAGTTAGTTTGCCTGTCACCTGTGCCACTGTGCTTATATTGAACAGAAACTAGTGTATTAGATCACTGTTATCTTTGTCAGTTTTGTCTGTAGAAAAAAGAAGAGGTGAGAATTGATGTCTGTTTTCTCAAGTGTTTCAATGGTTTGTTTTACATTTGGGAAGTTACCAGCCTTTGCCAAATGGCTACCAGCTGTTCTGGTTTTGAGTGCATGCTCTCTAGCATATTTGAACCATATTGGTGCTGTCTAACTCTTAAAGGGCCAGTGTATCTGTTGCTTTTGGAATGGATCACTAAACACTGTAATAGAATCAAAAAGTGTCAAGTTTTTCATTTATTTTTGTCTTTTACGGTGCTAAATTAAAACCATCAAGGAAGTGTGGTATGGAGATTGCAATACTGACCACTGTGTGCATAAAATGAAAATGTCATGAACTGTATGATTTTTGTTTTTTTATGGAACACAAAGTTATATATATTTTAAAGAAAGTTTTGGTTGTTTTTGCCAGTACAATGAAAGTCAGTGTGATCTGAAAAAATGCTGGACCATATTGACTTTTATTGTATGGACTAAAAAATAAATGAGCATAAATTGTATACATGTATAAAAAGTATACACGCACTAGCTGTCAAAAATTTTGAATAATAAGTACGTTTTAATGTTTTTGACAGAAGTCTCATGCTCACCAAGGCTGCGGGGTTTTTTTTATTATATTTATTTTTTATTAAAAATACAATAAAAAAAAAAAGTAATACTGTGAAATGTTACAAATGTAAAGAACTGTTTTCTATTTGAATATTTTTTTAAATGTAATTTTTTTAATGTGTGCCGTGCAGTGTCACATGATCCTTCAGAAATCATTCTATTATGCTGATTTGGTCAATTGTTAATTATGGATATCAGTGTTTTGCTAATATTTTTGTGGAATCCATGATACATTTTTTTTCTGGATTCTTTGATGAATAGAAAGTTCATAAAAACAGCATTCATTTTGAATTGAAATCTTTTGTAACTTTATGTATATACTGTCACTTTTGATATATATATTGATACATTTTTGGATAATTTCTGAAGGATCATGAGACATTAAAGACTGGCGTAATGACTGCTGAAAATTCAGCTTTATCATCACAGCAATAAGTTACATTATGAAATATATTAAAATAGAACAGTTAATTTGTAATATTTCACACTATTACTGTTTTTAATGTATTGTTTATGAAATAACTGGTGAAAAAAAAAAAACGACATAAAAATAAAATAATTATTTGACCGCTATGGTTATCCTTTGCATTTTTTATCTAGTTTTGAGTATAAATGTCCTAACTCTCAGATGAAATAGTGATTTGGTCAAATGCTAAAAGTAGCGGTTTAATGTTGCTTCATGTATATTCATATGGTTCACAGTATAAATAACTTTTTATTTATTTATAGAATTGCTTTTTGTTGTGGGGGAACCCCAGTTTAGTCATGCAGCGCTGCTGAGTAGCAGTGCACGAAACACTACAGTATGGTGGTATACCATTCCCAACACACCCACTGTTTACCACTCTGAGTGGTTGCAATATTAATTGAGATGCAAATCTTTACAGTGGGGAAGTGGATTGACTTACATTGTGGTATGGCAACAACTAATTGGACCGCAATACCACTAAGACTCTTGAAAAAATAACCGATCTAAACAAGTAGCTGAAATTCTAGCTTTACTGGTTATGAGGGATTCTGCAATATAGTGGAATCCCATGAATTCTTCTCCAACGCTAACCAATAGGACAGAAACATCAAATTGTCAGATTTAGACACACAGAACTAAACCCATGTTTTAAAGTCAACATCCCATATGAGAAGCAAAGCCTACAGAACCTATTTTTTTCCTCCATTGATGACATCTATGCTGGCCACCAGGGGCAGAAATGAGATGGTGTTTCTCATATTCACTTTGAAGTGAGTTTGCCCTGAATTACAGTGACAAGACACCTGCCACTTGTACATGTTTCAAGGGCCAATCGTTTCCCCCACTGCTTGGCATCCACTCGCTCATGCCCCAGATTTTATTTTTAGACCATATGGGGTTGTTGAGGTGTAACTTGAATCTTTCTTTCTGTTGCCGTTTCTGAGTGTATGAGTCGTCGACCATGTTCATCTGATAGGGATCTAAATGTAATCCTGAGACCAGGATTGTGTGTGTTTGTGTACATGCGGGCCTATATGAGAGAGCAAATGTGTTGTTTTACTGTGAAAGCCCCCAAATGGAAGGTTCTTGAATAGGATAAAGTTTGCCTAATATTGTCATAATTCTTGAGTGGGGTGTAGAGATGCTCCCAAATTAAAATAAAAAAATGTAAGGACTTAATTTACTCCATCATATCCATCCAAACCTGTAACATTTAACACAAAAAGACATCTTGAAGACTATTTCGGCTGTTTTAGTGCATACAATGAAAGTCAACACATTAGACTTTAGACTTGACACAAACAGCAATAATACATGATATACAACTATTTTAGTCAACATTCCTAAGACTAATTTGTTACTTTAAGAATATAAATTAAGTCACAAATTAAAGCTGTTCATTATACATTAAGTATATTCATGTAATACTTGTATGAACTGCATTTAGTTTTGAACAGTATCCCTGCAGAACGAGCGTCATTTACCCGTTATTGAATATTTTATTGTTTAATTAATTTTGATTCGTTAATACTGACATTTCTTACTATAAAGTTCAATCCAAACACGTAACCTAATTAATATTCATATCCCACGTCAACGTCTACTTCTCAGCAAATCAGTGTACTTGGCAAGCGGCACGCAATCTAATTAATATTCATGAGTCGGATTAGTAAATCAGCTTTTGGCGTTGGAAGCGCAGACGCACGCAAAGTTTGGTGACATTTAGTAACTAGAACACTTTCATGTACACGCATTATCCAAACATTTCTAGAGAGGTGCTATTGCTTCATAAGGATCTTCGTTCATAAGGAACCTGGCTTTCGGAAGGACTTCTATTATTTGTCATCGTATTAGTATTTTTGACTCCGTGTTTTGAAGGTGGAAGAGTTCTTTCGTTAAACGTTTTCCAGTCATGTTTATTATTCTGTTTACTTTGTTCCTCTTTTGCTTTGGGATGTAACAAGGAATCCTTTCTTTATCATTATTTATTCATTCATTTATTTTTATTTTTTGGTGGGATGCATCTGTCTTTTTAAATGTTGTGATTTAGGCTATCCTTTGGGGTTGCGAACAAACATTTCTAACAGTTTGTCGTTTTTTTGTAATTTATTTTTTGTGTAATTCCTACATTACACAATATGTTGCTTTTCTAACCGGCGCGCCAAACCTTTTCATGGCGCTGGAGCTGTTCATAGCATCAATATCACGTAACGCTGCATTTGGATGCACATGTGTTTTTTAAATCATAGACAGTAAGTGGCACTTGAACCCTGCGATGCATAAGTTCTGCCTCACCGTACTGCTGGTGCTGCGCGGACTCATCATCTGCATCTGTTCCAGCGATGAAGCACAGCACCCTGGACTGTACAAGGACACACCTGTGACCTCAGGCACGTGTGCACGACCAAATATACAGAAATGTTCATATTTATAATGTTTATATTTGCTAAACCTCAGCATGACCCTTGGCATTCTGAAGATCCATGCAATTTGCAGACTAATGGATAAGAAAAGAGCAGTTAAAACAGTTGATTAAATATTTTGTAGCTGATAATAACTAGAAAAATGTATGTAGTACAAATGTATTATTAATGCATTTATTATAATACAATTACACACACACTCATGACACCTCTTGGTGAAATTGCTGTAGTGAAATGTTTAACTGTCCACTTTTCATCACAGATCCATGTCTGCAAGTGAGCCCTCCGTGTATGACAGAGGCTGACCGCTTCAGCCTGGAGGCTCTTCAGCACATCCACAGAGAGATGGATGACGATCAGGATGGAGGCATTGAGGTGGAGGAGAGTGTCGAGGTAATCAACGTTCACAGATGTTACAATCACAAGTCAGAAAATTAGTTTCCTCACACCCTAATGTGAATCCTGCAGGGTTTCCACACCTCCTGGCCAATGCATTTTCATGTAACAGTCAAATGGATAAAAAAGAGAGCAGTTTAAACAGCTGATTACATATTTTATAACTAGAAAAACTGTAAAAAATTATAGAATGTTCATTACTTTTCAAAGCCTTGAAACTGGGGCTGCATGATTAATCGAAATAGACTAAAATTGCATTATGGCTTAGTGTGCTTATTTCAAAGGTTGCAATTCAATTAACTCAATATATGTGCTGCATGTTTTCAATGTGAAGCATGATGTTAAACATTTGAAAATGAAGACAGCCATAAATGTTAGTATTGCAATTTTACAGTTGTAATGTAAAATAAAATGATTATATTATTTTTCTTAAATACTTAAATTGTTTGACAGTGAAATACTACAAGAGTAATATTTTTTATTTCGGTTTTTATTTAATAGTAGTAGTAGTAGCAGCAATAATAATAATAACAACAACAACAACAACAACAACAACAACAAGATTATTATTATTATTTAATAGGCAAACTGATAAATAATCACTAAATTTCATCCAAATTGTGAAGCCCCCAAAACAAACACAGCAGGCCAGGAATTTTGCTGTGAATATTGAAACATACAATATAGAAATTTCAACAGCTTCTAAAATGTAAACTTTAGAAATCCATAAAAATCCTTTACTTTCTTTTTGTATTATAAATATAAATTATATATATAGATCATTTTGAGACTCTAATCCCACCCTTACCCTAAACAAACCACTTCTCAACAGTTACAGTATAACATGTATAGTATATAATAAATCATAATTTTGACAGAAAAATCACAATATGTATTTTTTTTTAAATTGTGAAGCCCTACTTGAAATCATACTTGTCAAATTTCCTTAAATATATTTTCAGTTATTCCATGACTGTGTGCTTAATTATCCTTGTCTCTTTAGTTACACTTTAGAGTTTTTTTTTTTGCTGCTAAATTGAACAAGTGGTAGAGTAGCACACATGTAGTAGTTGTGAAGTCTAAGGACTAACAAGCTCAGCTTAACTATTTTGGTATGTCTGTGTGATGTTTGTGTAAGAGCTGAAGTGTTATGCCAAAGCACCCTTTCTCAAGCCTGTTGGTCAATTTAGAAACACATGTTTCCATCCAGCACCTCAGACAAACCGTTCAGGCTTGGCACTGGGAGAACATAGCAGAGGGGGATGAGTTTCCAAGTAATGTCCTGACGTACGTCCGTGTCTCTGGTATTGGGTTTCTTTTCCTTGTTGCTATAGATATGGTTTAGATGGATCGAAGCAGTGAAGAATCCTGGAATCACATGGTGCATCTGATTACAGCAGAGACAGATACCAAAACACATTCACAGACACTTGAGCTCTTTCGATCTTGAATGTTTACTCAGCTGTTGTTTTACGTGTGTGTCACTGCATTTGTAGGACTTGGGTGTCTGAAGTTAATTTCAAACAATTTCTCATGCATCCGCATCTCTTCTTTGCTTCTTACTGTAGTTCATCATTGAAGATATGCAGCAGCAACAACAGGCAAACAAGCACAGTAAACTCCATCACGAGGACCAGCATATCACTTTGGAGGAGCTTTGGAAAGGCTGGAAATCTTCTGAGGGTAGGATAGTCTCCATGATTGAGTCTTAGTATGTTCTTAATGTAAAAATAGTCACTTTCTGCCCATCTTTTGGTTCTTTCACTGCTTTCTTTCCCTCTATCAGTTCATAACTGGACTCAGGAGGATGTCTTGAGGTGGCTAAGAGAGTTTGATGAGTTGGCTCAATATGAAAAGGGCTTCAAAGAGCTGCGTGTCAATGGGAACACCTTGCCCAGGTGAGACAAATCAAGACTGAACCGAATGAAAATTCAACAATTCTCAACAGTTAAACCATAAAAGGCATATACATTTACAGTGCTATTCATTTTAGTTACAATATACTATTATATAGATAGTCATAACAGCACCAGAAATCACAGAGAACAGAATAAAAATGTTATAATGTAAATGTGATTGCACTCAACATACACTACAGTTTAAAAGTTTAGGGTCGGTATGATGTTTTAGAAACAAGTCTCTTATGCTCCCCCTGGCTGCAATTATGAGAGAAAAATACAGTAAAAGCAGTGAAATATTAATATGATTTAAATGAACTGTTTCTGTTTTAACACATATTAAAATGTAATTTTAATATTACTGTGATGCAAAGCTGAATTTTCAGCATCATTACTCCAGTCTTCAGTGTCATATGATCCTTTAGAAATCATTCTAATATGCTGATTTGCTGCTCAATCATTTTTTTTTTTTTATCAACGATGTGCTGCTTTTTTGTGGAAACCGTTTTTTTTTTCAGGATTCTTTGATGAATAGAAAGTTCAAAAGAACAGTATTTATTTAAAATAGAGATCTTTTGTAACATAAATGTCTTTACAGTTACTTTCAATCAATTTAATGCATCATTGCTGATAGATATTAATTTCTTTAAAAACAAATCTTACTGACCCCAAACTTTTGAATGATAATGCATTTAGTTAATTGCATTGATTAAATACAATAAACAGCTTTATGAAATGACACAGCTAATAGTTTCTTGTTTTGCATTTACAGAATTGCTGCCAATGAGCCATCATTTATGAGCACTTATCTGAAGATCCAGGACCAGCAACACAAACAAAAACTCAAGCTCAAAGCTCTGGATGTAGTGCTGTTTGGCCCACCTACACGTATGTATCAACTTTACATATATTGACATAAAATGTTGGCTAATTATTTTTAAATAACCATTTTCCAAACTCTATGTTATACACTCAGGATATGAACACTTCAGTCTCTGATCAACATAAGCAATTGTGAAAATGAATTATTAATTATAAAATGAAGTTAAATTGCTGCACTAAAATTTTTTGCATCTTCTTTTTGCAGCCCGGTGGCATTGATTCAGTCCACTGACTGAATTGTATGCACTATATGCTTCAATTGTAAATCAGATCATTAAATGACTGGAGCCACAGTATAATGAATTCTGATCAAACAGTTGTGGCTTTTTAAATGTCATTATTACATACAGTTCTAACTGATGTGTAACATTTGAGCACATGTGAAATCAAATATCCACGCACGCCTGTTGAGAACACACAGTAGAATGACTCTCTCACAGTGTAAAATATATTCAGCAGATATCCAGTCAGCAGGCAAAATAAACACACAGACGTCACATAATATATTTATTGGCTGTCTGACTAATATTCCCTTTGCTCCAGGACCCCCACACAACTGGATGAAAGACCTGGTTCTGATAGTGTCAGTAGTAATGGGTGTTGGTGGATGCTGGTTTGCACAAGTACAGAATAAAGCATCTAAGGTACATATTACAAAGATGATGAAGGACCTGGAAAGCTTGCAGAGAGCTGAACAAAGCCTCAGAGACTTACAGGAGCAGTGAGTACCTCTTCTAGATTCCCAAACCTCCACATTCAGCATTAATTTGAATCATATGATATGATTATTCACCCAAATGAATAAAGCTGTTTGATTCACACTTGATTCAACAAGCCACAGTTAATAATTTTTCATAATTCAGACTAATAGTAGTTTATGCTGGTCTTATCTTATATTGGTCTTATATATATTGTTCTTTAAAAAACATAAAAAAAATATTACCAACCCTAAACTTTTTAACAGTGGTGTGTGTATGGTATATATAC